CTGCTGAGAGTCTAGGGGCCGCTATTTAAAACAGCTCACTATAGGTATATTCACACTTCTAGAAATAATTAATGGTGGCAACGATCCTTATAATGGCACCTGATACCCTGCTGTGAAGGAAGATAAACCAGCCTTCACCATAAAGAACTTACAAATTATACTAAGCAAACATGTTAACAGCTATTAAGAGTCCTAATCAGAGCTGTTAAACAAACAATTAGGAGATGTCATATAAAATACACCCATTTAGGCATAGCAGCTACATGTTTGGAGTTTTAAAAGGAACCACTTACCTTTGAGATAGAGATAAAGCCTTCAATGGAGTGTAAAGGTCAGACAACAAGGCACTTTTCTGAGCAATTCCCTTTTCTATGATCAGATCTCATGGACAAAGTTCTGTTCCCAGTGGTGTGCTTGTATCCTAAGGTTTATTTTTAGTCTTAATACAGTTTAACCAGAAAATTACTCTTGTTTTTTCAAACATGACATATATGTATTTTAAAGGGCCATGAAAAGGTTGATATAATCTAATAGTAAAAATTAAGAAATAATTTGATTAGAAGAAGTTTACTTTGCAGACAGCATTTTAGGTTAAGATGAGGTCCACTCCTACTGGTGCTTAAAACTTTGCCATTCTAAGTTTTGTCCAGTGGCACCAGCATCACTTGGAAGCTTGTCACCAATGGAGGATCCCACTCCAGGTTCCCAGCCCAAACCTACAGAATCAGAATCTGCATTTTAATAAGACCCCCCAGATGATTTGTATGTATATTAAAATTTTAAGAGAAAATATAAATGGGCAAAGTTCCTACTATCAGAAATTCTATCAGGAAAATTAATAGGCTTAATCTTATTGGAAAGGAGAAATTAAATTGCTGACTTCAGGAAGGTAAATACATAGTGTGACATTTGCATTACAATTAAGTATATGTAGAGTGGTCCCCTCCAGCATCCATGTCGCATAGTGGATTCCAGGGATTCCAACATTGCACACCACTTCAGCTATGCTCAGTTACCATCTTGTAGTCTCTTCTCTATTTAAGTTTTGTGTCCCGTTCACATGCTCACTATAGCTCCCAATTATGCAGAACACTAATGCCGTAGGATAAAGGGCATAGGAGGTGCAGGAAAGAGGAAGTCTTCATAGCCGCAGGCCCCACCATTTTCTTCCATAGTTAAAAGAGAACAAGTCCACATTTTGATTACTTCACCCTTTAGCCATATAAACTGTGCTGTGTTTGTGGATTAAGAGAATTAATTGCTTTTGTATCTTCTCACTAGACAAATCAGAGATGACTGAGATTCAACTTTACTGTTCATACCATGCAAAGTATTTCTAGATTCCTTTTAGCAGGAGATTTTTACAATAGTCATGAACATCCCATAAAGTACATGACATGATGTGATTTTCAAATTTTGATTTCTTATGTTCATAGGGTGAACTATTTTAAGACTATAGTGAAAGTATAACCATAAGCGTACACTACAAAAAACAGAATCTCAAAGTAAACAGAGAATTACATAAAGCATTAGTTGACTTTTACAATTCAAAAAAAGAAAGAAACCTGTGGAGGAAATTATAATGATCCTCTTTATAGTTGTTCTGGAAAAAAAAATCAACTTATAACAGGCCTAATGAATGCTCCAATTGTTCCTCCTGAGAAACAGATTTTTTTATGCAATGTAAAAGGGTTTCATAGGAAATGTTCTTGCTCATATTGAGAAGTTATTTCATGATCTTTCCTACATTGCACTAATATACAGCACTTCAAAATAGGAAGAGAAGGGTTTTGTTTCTGCTTTTTGGTTTTGGTTTGTTATTATTCTTACTCATACTATACAAGTAAGAAGGTAAATTAAAAACATGGACAAATTTTATCTAGTAATATGGATTTTTCAAAACAATAGTTATATTTTGGTTGAAGATAATTTAATCAAATTTTAAAAACATATGTGTTTGGTTCATGCAATAGTTGAAGGAAAAGATAATTTCAGTTACATTAAAACTTCTTTTCTTTATTGACGTCTATGTCTAGGTCACATTAGATTGTGTGATCATGAATCTTGGCTTCACCTCTTTCTGGCCAGGTGGTCTAGAGCAAGTCATTTAACTTATCTAAGACTAAGTTTCTTCATCTGTAAAATAGAGCTAAAAACTAAACCTATCTCTTAGGGTTATTTTGAGGACTAAATGAGTTAATACATCAAAAAGTGTTTAACAGACCCATTATAAGAGCTCACATCATGTTAGTTATTACATTGCTTTATTCTCTACTTTGATATAAATTCAATGCACAGAAGTCATTCTGTCCTATTCTGAAATGTAAAAAATCCCCCAAAACGTAACTATTTTCATTCTTTAAAAAATAAAATACAAAACCCTGTAACCTACACTCCTAGCTTTCCTCTTTCTCTTACAGAAACCAAACTTCCTAGAGAGCGGTCTGTCTCCATATCTTCAGTTCCTAGTCTTCATTCGTTCCTCAACCCTCCCCCCACCCCCCAAAAACAGACATCAGCAAGTATCTTTCTAATTACTAAATCCAGTGATCACTTTTCAGCTCTGGTGTTAGTGAGTTTTCTGCGGCATTTGACTTAACTGTCTTGGATCTCTTCAGTTTCATGTCTATCATCATCATCTTCCTTAGCCTTCCTTTTAAATGCTGGTGTTCTCAGAATTCCACACTTGGTCTTTTTTATACACACCATGGAATTACTACCAGTTCTTGCTGAGAACTCCTAGGTTTATATTTTTTCTACCCTGCCTGTCAATCCCATTGTCCATTCTGGAACCTCTTAGCATATTTTCAATAATTTCTCTTAGCCAACCTAGCATAGCCAGGTTATCAGTTCGTATGCTAGACATGAGGATTATAATAAAATGTATTTATTCAAAAACTCAGAAGGCTTTAAATCTTTAAAAGAGAATCTTATTTATTCTCTCATTTTCAGGTATTTCCCTCATTTTCATTCATGTATGACATGATTTTTCTTTATTGGCTGCCATTGCCATATACCCTGATATGTACTAGGTATTCAACATCTGGGAAAATAGGATATAAATGAGTTTTGCTTTGCTTAGTTTTGTTTGGGTGGTGTTGGGCATAACTTTGCGCGCATGCGCCCTGACGCACACGGGCGCCAGTTCATGCGCTCTGCGGCCACCATTTCACTAGCGCTCAACGGCACGTAGCTGCCAGCCTCGCCCTTCCGGGTCCCAGTGATTCAGCAACTTTAGTTCCGTATTCACGTAAAGCCTCCCCACCACCTCACCCTATCCTTTTAAGCCCTTCTTATTGGCTCTTTGCTTGATCTCTCATATCAAAACCCGCCCTGCCCTTTTTCCCTATATAAGCTGTGCCGCCCTGCAAATAAACGGAGTTCCGGCTTTTCTTTTCCGGGGCCCAGTGACTAAGCAGTTTTTGCCCGCCCTGTCATCACCCCTCTTCATAACTTGTGGCTTCCCCTGATTGGATAACCATCTCCTCCCGCCTCTCCTCTCTGTTTCCGCTTTCTTCCTCTATATAAACTCCAACACCTTTCTAATAAACGGAGTTCCGGCTTTGACCACTCTCCTGGCTCGGTGGTGTTCTTTCTCGGCCCCCGGGGAGGAAGGTCCTGGGGGGGAAGGGCTGTGCCAGCGACACTCATCATCCCGCTCAGCCCCACAAGGGACCCCTGGCTGGACCGGGGTCTCTTCCCGCTCGGTTTTGTCGGCCTCTGGCTCAGGGAGGCCCGACAGGGTGGTTGCTTCATGGGATGAATTTGGAATATAGATTAAGAGGGATATTGAATTCCATGGTGTAAATTTTGAATTTGAAGTGATGCTGGGCCATCTGGGTGAAGAGGTCCTACTGGCAATTGTAAATGAGTCTCTGGAGTCTACATGTGGTATCGAAATTGGAGAGGTATCTTAGAAAATATTCAACCTGGAAGTGATTACCTAAATTCATGTTTTTCATGCTCTAATGCAAATCCCAACCACAATCACAGAATCCAAGTATTTTTAGTGGAAGAACCCTAATTTCTCTGATTCAACCTTTCTTAACTCTGGAATTTCATTATTTCTATTTTCTGACATATGGTCACTCAAATTCAAAAATCCCTTTTTAATCATTTTTCTTTCAACATATATTTGTTGAGAAAATAATTGACAAACCCCATATTAGTCACTGGAGTTAATATAGTGACCAAGATAAATACAGTTTGTCTCTCCTGAAGCATCAGTCAAATTGGGGAGTGAGTTGTCAATCAAATAATTATGCAATAATTATAAGTCAAAGATGTCTGAGTAAAAGAAGGCTATAACCCATTCTGGGTTCATGGAGGCCTCCCTGAAAAAGTGATTTTACCCTGAGACTGAGGAATGGTTGGTAGTTAGCCATGTGTAGGAGGGAAAGGCCTTCTAGGCAGTGAGAAGGTCTTGGGAAAAGACCCTAAGGCAAGGAAAGAATGTGGCCAATTTGAGGAAAAGGGGAGAGACCTGGGTGACTGGAGCATATGAACAGAAAGGAAACAATGGGAGATGAGGAGGAAGACACAGGCAGTGTAAATGACCAGCTCCAGGTGTGGGAACGAACTCCAGGCAGCCCATCCCAACAGAAGGAATATAAGAGTTAAAATATCCTTTCTTACGGTGTGCCAAATTTGACTCCTTGAAAACTCAACCTATTTGATCTCATTCTTAACAACTGTACTGACATATGATAGACTGTATATATTTAAAGTATACAATTTAATAAGCTTTGAAATGTGTATACACCTGTGACACCATCACCATATCATGTTAATGAAAATATTCAACGTCCCTGAAAGTTTCCCTGTGTGCCTTTGCAGTCCCTCCTTCCCAACTACCTCCATCCCCAGGCAGCAGTTGACCTGTCATGGCTAGAACAGTGCTTGGCACACGAAATAAATACTTGCTGAGTAAATGGAAAGTGAGTCGGTTTGGGGAATTAGCTCTTCGTTTGATGTCTAGTTGGTGGCTCCTTCTTTTCTAGGTATGTAGCGCTATTCAGAACCAGGATTTCACTGTGATCGAAGACTACTGCACGGGCCTCAAAGCCCTGCTTTATCTGAAAAGCATTGAAGAACTGCAAAACTGGGATGGGCAGAGTCCAGCCACTGTGAGTCACCAGAAAGGGAAACCAGTTCCACGTATTGCTGAACTCACCGGAAAGGTATGTGCTCACCTTTCCTGTGTTATCCTTGAGAACTCTGCCTTGGTCAGTCTCTTGTTTCTGATCCTGTTTGCCTTCCACATTCTCACTGAGAGGAAACAGCGTGCCTGTTGGGTGTGATTTCTGCAGTAGAATCGTTCTCAAGGAGGCTTGATTACAGCTATATGATGGGTTTGCAAGTTGCCTTTTTATCAAACCAATATAACATAAGGTCATATGAAAGAAAAAGATTGGAGTTTGTAGTGTAAAGTGCCTCCAAATTCTTGTTACTGTGGTGATGACTGGCATTCTTTCCAGTGGGAGGCTAGAGATTTCTTTATTCTTTTAACAAGCTCTGGAAATTATAACATTACCTTTCTGTTTTCGAGACAATCAAATCACTGGAGTCCTGAATAATATGATGACGTTTTTAAAATTAAAATCTAATCAGTATCTTTTGTAACTGCTTCTGCTGTGTGGTTAAACCTGGGCTCAAAAGGTTATGTCCCAACTTTCTTACTAACTGCTATTTTCCTAGAAATATACACTACATTTACATTTTGTATAATACAGTGATTTTTAGCAACTCTTTTCTAAAACAACATTCAGCATTTTGCCTTTGTATTTCCTTTGTGTTATTCTAAATAGACAACCATTGTCAGAAGACATTTCTTGAGTCCTGAACGAGGGGAGGAAAAATTATAATTCTTAGTCTTTTCAGCTTGTCACTACATCAATAATTAAGTTTTAAAAAAAAGAGAGAGACAGTATAAAAAGATTCTTTAAGGAAGCATTTAATAATTCAAATGAATCTTAACTTGAAACAGGTCACATGAAAAAGAATGGAAAACAAAAACCCTGGATACTCTGCCTTGGATGTCTGGGTTAGGAATGCAGAAATAATAAGAGAAACATATAACTGACTTACATTTGGCTAGTTTTAGTGGAAGATATTACTGTCCCTCTCCTAACAGATAGCCAAAAAGAAAGCCTTCTTGAAGAATAATGTGTATGATTGCAAGTACAGGAATGAAAAAAAGGGGAGAAAGAAATAAAATTTTACAGTGTGGATTCCGGGAAAGTATCATGATGAACGACTCCATGAGTGGCAATCAAACAGAAAGGTTGTGACATTAATATTTATAATATTGTAATTAACCAGACAGTGCCTAAGCAACATTATTAGTGTAACTAATCATATTATCATAAACTGAGTCTGCAGTATTTAGACAGAGAGTGTTCTTGCCTTTATCAAAGACTATAAATGTCCTAAGGTTGTTCATAACTAAAAAAAAAAAAAAAATCACAAATGACTTTACACTCATTCAATGTAAATATCTCAAGGAAATTGTTTCTGACATGATAGTTTATGACCATCTATAAAAGCATTGTCTCAAATTTGGGTGGTTGCCATGTGAGCTGAAATATAAATAGCTGTGTTGCACTGTAATAATGTTTATCGTCTTTAAAGGACTTACACATTCATTTCAAAACTTGCATATTCAAATAAAAGATGAATAATAATGGGGACACTTGTATCAATGACATAAATAAAAGTTGATTTTCTAATAGTTTGAATTTAGATTTAGACTTTATTTTGGTAAGCGCAGCCTTCATCAAAATCATAAGTACAATTTTTAGCATTATCATTTTTTTTAAAAATAAAAGATTTTGCCTATGTGATTATATTAGTGATACATTTTTCAACACTAAGTTGAGGAACAAGCAGATGGTCTGATAATAGATTTGTGCTTCCTGATTCTTTGGTGCAGGCTGACATGACTAAAGCCATAGGTGAATATCCCCTTTAGCTTGATATTCCTAGCAGTGAATCAAATTGCTCTGGATCCAGGGTACAGGTGGCCTCCTAATTGTCCCTCCTTAGTGTTGCTGGTGTGTGTACTTGTGTGCATGTGTTTGAAAACAACTCATGTCATGCTTCTGTTAGCTAAGGAATAGTCTGCTGCTCCTCACAGTGTTTTCAGACTATTGGGAAAATGAGAGAAGATGTCGATCTTTTTTAGAAAGACACACTAAAAGTAGCTGGCTTCTTTAGACAGGAAATCTTTGTTTGGAAAGTACAATTGTTATTCTACTTAATCTTTCACTCATAGGTCAGGCTAGAATAAATTAGAGTAGATATTTAGAAGAAACCAATTACAATGCAGTGTTTGATGATGGAGAGAAAATGAGGCCTCAGGTGTGGAAACAAGGATTTGGCCAAGTTGGTCATGTTATCTTTCAAGTAATTAATATATTTCATGTACTTGCCTTATACTTACCTCACTAGTTGATTAAACTTCTGAAGCAATATTTCTTCAGGTGGCTTTTGAAGGTCAGAAAGTTTGGTATTTATAGTCCTATGGTGCTGGTCATTTAAATCTGTTCCTGGAAGAGGAAAGCCAATCCCTAGGAAGAGCAGTCATTAACTTTGTCACACTATAGAGCTGTTGATCTCAAACTGCTTGTGCTTAAAAGCCACATGGCATGCTTGGGAGAAATGTAGATTCCCAGGCTCCACCCACCTTGATCCTGATTCAGTGGGTCAGAGGTGGGTCCAGGAATCTGCATTTTAACATCATGATTTGAAGGAGGGGTCCAGGATCTGCATTACCAAAAAAGAATGAAAAAGGCAATAGCAACAGAGAAGTCAGAGACTAAAAAGTTAGGCAATGACCAGAAGAACACAAGCTTCTCTTGATGGAAAAACCTAGTAATAAATGATTTTGAGCTGTAAGAGAAATGAAATAGACAGAGGCAAGAGAGGGAGTCCAGAGCAGCCTCGCACTGGGTTCTGAATGGCCAAAGGCAGAGAACACCCAACAAGAAACCTGCGTATAGGACAGTGGCTACTTGCAGAGTTAAGAGTAAGACCGCGAGGTTTATACGGTGCTTCATCACTTCATTTACTTCCTTACTAGCTAGTTAACTTCAGCAAATTACTTAATCTCTCTAAACCTGTTCCTAAATCTGTAAAATAAAGATAATCATAGCACAGGTCCACGATTCCTCACTAACAATTCCAAAACCCAAAAAGTGCTGAAACCAAATGGTTTCACATAACTCATTTGGCAGGAAACCTGGCCTGAACTGATGTGAGGATCTTTATAACCTTTTTTTATTCCTCTTGGAAAACATTTAAATGTTTACTGCAGAGAGACTAATGCGTTTACTTCCAGGTTGCTACCCCACACCTTGCTGGAGCAGGAGGTGGGAATGTTTGGTAAAATGGGGTATATGTATCATTTTTCTTTTCTAAAATCCAAAAAACAGTACTGAATTGATACATTTGACTCCCAGGATTTTAAATAAGGACTTGTGAAAAATACATAAATGTGTATCACTACAAATGGTATTTATCCAGAAATTCTCCTTTAGAGATGGAGGCTAAGTATATATCTTAGCGATATTAGAAAATAAAATAATATTTGGTATTTGAGAGTGTGGGAAATAAGAATTACATTGAGATTCTTTGCTTCAGAAACATGAAAGAAATTGGACAATCCAATATTTAAACAGCAGATTTTGCAATCAGCAAAGCATGGAAGGAAATGTCTTCACTGTTCTGTGCTTGGGATGAGAGTAGGACTCCTAAGCAAGAGTCTTGAAAGGGAAACAGCAGAGGCCAACAACAACTGATTGCTTGGTTCTGCATGGATTCTCACATGCTGTTCTATGTGTCTCGAATGGCTTTCCAGTTCTCAAGTTAACTTTTCAATTCTTTGACTTATTCCCTGATGTATTAGTCTGTTTAGGTTGCTTATAACAAAATATTTGGAACTGGGTAATTTATTAAGAAAAATGAAATGTATTGCTTACAGTTTCTGAGGCTGGGAAGTCCAAAATCCATCTGGGTAGCGACAGTGACCCAGGGGTCTCACATTGCAAGATGGTGGAAGCAGAGAGAGAGAGACAGACTCTCCTCTTCTTTTAAAGCCCTCAGAACCACGCCCCTGACCACCATTTTTAATCCATTCACTACTGCATGGTCCTACAATCCAATCACCTCTTTAAGGCTCCACCTTTCAATTTCCATAATAGGATTTCCCACCCTCTTAACAGTCAAACAGTGGGGGCTAAGATTCTAATACGTAAAACTTGGGAGACACAATTCAAGCTTCAGTGAGTTTTGGGGGACATAATTCAATCCACTGCATTCCACCCTGAGCCCCCCCAAACTCATGTCCCTTTCACATACAAATACATTCATTCCACCCCCAAAGTCTTAACTTGTTTCAATTTAAAAGTTCAAAGTCCCATCTGTGAAATCAATACAAGTTATCTACTTCTAAGATACAATGGTGGGACAAACATAGGGTATATATTCCTGTTCTAAAAGGGAAAAATAGGCCAAAAGAAAGAGGTAACAGGTCCTGAATAAGTGTGAAACCCAGCAGGGCAGACATTAAATCTCAAAGCTGGTGAATCATGTACCTTGACTCCGTGTTCCACCTCCTCTGCACGCTGGTGTGGGGGTTGGATCCCCAAGTCCTTGGGCAGCTCCACTCCTATGGCTTTCCTGGTCTCAGGCTACACTTCATCTCACCCAGGCTGGTATTCCACTCTAGTAGCTCCACAAGTCTGGGGTCTCCATGGCAGTCCTGCTCTCACAGCTTCACTAGGCATGGTGCCGTTGGGGTTTGTCTGCTGCAACTCTGACCCCACAATTCTGCTCAGCATTGCTCTAGCGAAGGTTGTCTGAGGTGACTATGCCCCTGTGATAGATCTCTTCCTGGGCACGCAGACTATTCCATACATCCTTTGAAACTGGGGTAGAGATTCGCAATCAGGGTAGAGCTCTGGCATTCTGTGAGCCTATAGACCTAACACCATGTGGATGCTGCCAAGGCTTCCAACTTGTATTTTCCAAAGTTGCGGATCCAACCACACCTGGGACCAATTTAGCCATGGCTGGAGCAGCCAAAACAGCTGGGGTGCTGGTGCTGCTTTCCCAAGGTGGTCTTGAGCAGTGAGCCTGTGGAGGGTGTCTCAGGCCTGTTCCCCAAGACCATTTTGTCTCC